GCAAAAGCACCTAAATAAAGGACAGTAGGGCTGCCTTACGAAGTGACCCTATTTGCAGTAAAATATACAATAGCAGAACCCACGACGCAAAACAGCCAAACCTGACCAGATAAAAATGTTTCCAACTCTTCTGTCGCCAGGTAAAAGACTTTCCTTCTGTTTTAAGTGAAAGGATCGAAGTGGTCGACATGGTAACAAGGTTGCTATGGTTACTAAGCGTGAAACACGCCACCGTTAACTACCCTGTGAGTGACTATGGAGCTTTCACGCCTCTTTTACCCACCAAGATTTTCAATGATACTCGCGTTCCACCAGGAGACTTTTCCATCTTGAATTTACCAAATAGTGACATATCTTCAGTAAGTGTTTTAAAGTCTTAATGAGTCAACAAATTATTTATTTTCATTTCATAAATTTATTTAATCATAAATTTTATGATGATGATTATTATAATTTATCGAGTTATAGTACAGAAGTGCTTGTAATTTTTCAAAAAAAGCTTTGTATATGTTTGCGCTTAATTATGGCGTTCAGCGCTGGCCGAACTTTGGTCAGCGTAAACAAATAGGTAAATCGTGCACTAGTTACTGATCATGGCCCATCAGAGACCTCGTTTTACCTTCTACACGTTATAATTCTTGTCTTTACCAGAAACAAAAACCACTACCATTTTTTTCAAATAAAACCTTGGAAACTGGTGTTCCTGTACATGTAAATTTCGTTTTCAGGCCAGCGTGGTCATGTCACAGACAAAAATTGCGAGTCTGATCTATCGACCACATGGCCACTGCTATTCACTCTCGTGCGCTCACAAAGTTGGTCTTTAATTTTCAAAAAAGAGAAATTACTTTCTCGCAGATAATAAATTATTGTATTGCGTCTTTTCGCTAACAAATGCTATTTAGGGTGTTGAGTGAGGGAGTGTTGCCCAACCCCCTGCATGTTGTTGATGACTGTCGAATTCAAGGCCTTCTTGTTCTTCCACCGATTTTTTTTTTCTTATCATTCTTCTAATTATTATTTTTTCTCACTCCCTTCAGGCACAAGTTGAGGTGGCCATGAACGTCGGGGCATACCATTATGATACGCTATTTGATTATTATGCTGAGCTTTCAGATCCTGAGGCGAGGAAACGCGTGCGATTTTACTACTACTACTTTCAGTATGCTATCAGCCCAATGCTAAAGTTCAGAAACTACAGAAGATTCAGAAAAGGACACCTGACATACCCATATTTACAGTACCCTTGGCTTCCGAACGGGATTCAAACATAGGACACTTATAGTAATCTAACAGCTCTAAAATTAATTCCCAAGGAAGTTTAGGTTTAAAGGGGGTTCGGGTTCTTACTGCTTCTTCTTAAAAATTCATCTATCGAGTGTTTTTTTTTAACCTAAGAATGGAAGGAACTCTTCAATTTTGTTTTCAGCCTACGGGGAAACCTTTTTATTCGTTGAGTGGGAGCAGGGAGGACGAGGGAACCCTGTCTTAAAACCACCAACAATCCCTGGAGTATAGAGCTTTCCTACGGGCCTTTAAGTCTTCTTTTTAAAACACTCTATAAAGTGATAAACTCTCCTTAGTTATGCTTGCCAACAATCCTCAAGAATTTACATGTAAGACAGAGGGTCGATTTATTTAATTTCTTGAGACGTTGCGCAGGAACGAAGCAAGTTCATTTAAGCCTGCGAACTGAAACGTCAACCATGACAAACCACAAGAAAAATACAAGAAAAAACGTTTGGTTTAGTTCATTTGAACCAATTATAAAACGTCCATCAATTTTCGTGACTCACTGTCAGCTGGTACGTTTAAATGACAAGCTTCGCGCCTCGTTGCAGGCCACACTTAGGCTTAGGCCAAAAGTCAAACTTTTCATGAGACGAACCAAACTCTAATTTGGGATCGACCTAAATTAAGTTAGGATCGTCTGTTGTGTCACTCGTAGAGCTCGGGGACGCGCCGAACCGATCAATTGAATCAGACCAAGAAGCAATTTTAAGAAAAGTCTCTCTCGGTGACATCACAGCTCACGGCAGAGTCCAGGATTGACCGAGCTGAGAACTCCTAGGGACTAGGCTGGTTCGTCTCATGAAAGTTCGGCGTCTGGCCTTGCTTGCGCGACTGCCATCAAGTACCTGGCGTTCTTTCATGCAGATCATTACCTTAAACTGTCTAAATTTCTGATTTTTATAAAAAGAACTAAAAATGATCAGAAAAAAGGTATATGAATGGATTTAAAAAATTTGGTTAGTGAACTTGAGGGATATTAGGAAATAAATGCAGGAATAATGTATTTGCTGGTGAATAAATTATTCCACTAGAAGTGTGTTTATTTGTGTGTTCTTGTCAGAAACAGTCAGGCTTCACATGATCGCCCAGTTGGCTCGCCCAAGAGGCTTGGAGACAACATAATTTCCAGCCACTATTTTTGTTGATCTTTTAGTTTACTATTGACGGTACCGTTGCAACAAATAACATCTCACAAAATCGCATGCACTGAGTCTACTCGAAAATTGTCCTTCATCTTAAATTTTTAGGAAAATGCGCAACAATTTTGCACAAAACATTTTGGTCGACGTTTTCTCCGCATTATTTTTCTAAGCTAATTTAATTTGTTTGTTTTCCTGACACTGGCTTCAAGCTGTACAAGCTGTAAGAACAAGAAATATTGTTAAAATGTGTCTTCGAGCACGGGAATTTTGCGTCTTCAACAGGGCTTTATCCGCCCTGTGTCAATGCACATGTGACATTACATGTGACATCCAACCTTTGTTAGTACCCAGTCCGCACTATTCCAAGACCCCGCGCACATTGGTACTGCAAGAACAATCCGCTGTCTCTACTGAGTGCACATGAATCTGTGAAAATCCAAAATGGCGACCGACCAGAACGAAGAAGAAGGAGGTTATCGTTGGTTAAACCAGTATGAAAGAACCTGGTACGTATCATTGATGTCTTAAGTATCTGATATCTCTCCCGTTTTACAAATAAACGGCGATTTGTTTGACACAACTTAAAAGTCTTGCAACTACAACTCGACCAATCAGCTCATTAAAATCTTCCATATTATATCTATTGTGACCAGTGTTTTCATATATTCTTGTTGACCGATCGGTAAAGACCTTTACCTAATAAAAATCAAGAAACTTTACGGAATTAAGGGGAAAATATGATTTCACTAATTTCGCCTCTAGATGGTTGAGATGTACAAAAATCCTTAGCAGCCATGCATGGGGTTCAAGGCCCGGGGGAGGGGGGGGGGGGGGACTGTAGGAATTTCTGGGTGGGGATGTGCCGCTGGGACCCTGGAACCCTTAACCTATACCAGAGCTAGTTCAGCTGAATTTTGCTACCCTATACTAGAGTTAACTCCCCAAATCCCCCCTATCCTAGAGTAGCTGTTTTTCAGAAACTACTGAGGTCACTAGCCAAGTCTAGCCAGAACAAAACCTTATACCACAATCCCTAGTCTAGATAAAATCTTCAACCAACTGGTCAATTTCCTGAAAAATAATACCCTATTCTAGACCCAAACGTTCTGATTTATATACCCTATCCTAGAGTAAACTGCTTGAAAACCATACCCTTCACGGTGGCACATACCTATACAGCCCCTATATGGCAGTACCCCCCCCCCCCTGGGATTCAAGGGTTCTATCAGGGAAAAGGTTTGGTGCTGATTGTTGTCTTAAAGTATAAAAATGAGAGGTGGAATGGTGGTTTTGCATATGGTGGTTATTGGTTTGCTCCATGGTAAACTACATAAAATAGGGGCGCTCAACCACCTTTGCATCCATTTCTGAGATGTGCTATATATTTAATAAGCCACTATATTATTCATTCAAAATCTTTCCCCGTTTCTGATTGGTTAAAACCACACACATAATTCACCACAGCCAGCTACTGTTGACCAAATTTGGCAAGAATTTTGTCATATTGAACCGATGATGTCAAAATGACGTCAAAAGTGCAGCCTGGTAGCAGGTTATTTAATCGTTGACTGTGAAAACCTGGGGATGAGGTTGAGTTGTTTTGGTAGTTAGAACAAAATTGCGGAACAATCGGTGGAACTTTTTACTTGTTTCACGTTTCTACTCAGTCTCATTCAATAATAATTGCTAAATGTTAAAATATGGGCTAGGCTATCAACAGACTGACCACAGATGGCACTTAACTTCTGGTTAAAAGAAAAATAAAAATTACCTGAGATAAAAAATTTGCTGCAATACAGCACTGCCTAAGCTTTGCAGACATTACTAACTGGGGTTCTTGGTTACATCAGTGATGCAAGCTAGTCATCCACTGCCAAATGAAACCTTCAGTTATGCAGGCCCATGTTGATATTAGACTCCGTGCATTTTTAAACAGACATGACTGTCAGTTAGTTTATTTGCCACAGCTTTGACATTCCTTTCTTGCTGTAAAGGGAAGTTATTCAAGAAGATGCAGAGGGCTCGCTTCAGACTGTGGTTGATGAGATATCACACAGGACTAAAAGGCGAAGGTGCGTGATTGGCTCTGCCAATGAAAGTGCTGGATAGTCATAACTTGAGTACATGAAACTGATTTTTGGGTTGTCACTAAGGCAGAGATGCCAACCTCCAGAGATCTAAAATCTGGAGATTCTTTCTTTTGCTCTAGACCTCCCCCTCCCCCCCTCCCCACCCACAAATTAATCCAGCCACCAAATTATGACATGACATGGGTATGGCTGAGGACATTGCATGAAGTCTTGCATGAAGTTCATACTATCAAAATTTGCTTTCATCATTGTAATGATAAAATAATCTTTGCCAGTTACTTAATACAACCAAAAGTGTCCCAGAAACTGTACAATGAAAACAGATCTAATTTTGAGAAAAAAATGGGCTAAATTTCAAACTAAAGACAGAAAAGCTGAAATGTCCATTTTATCTGGGAGATTTGGTGTCCCAAACAGGAGAGCGAGAGATCAGTGCCGTATCTGGGAGACTACCGGATAGTCAAGGAGAGTTGGCATACATGTATATGCTAGGGACCATGCTGTGGATTTCCCCCGGCTCCCATGAGCTTAATCCCCAGCTACTTTTATAGGAGACAAAAGAAAACTATAATAAATAGTTCCAACTTCTTAGTTGTTCAATTCCCTGCCTACTAATTGCACATACCCTGGCAGCAAGTCTAGCCAGATATAAGAAAAACCCATCATCACCCATGGTCTTAAATGGCACTGAATGCCTTTTAATTGACACTGGTATTTGCAATTTTTTTTTAGACTTATGGGGAGAAGCAGCAACATTCGACTTGGGATGGTAAGGGAAAAAAAAACATAACAAAATTATAAAATTTTGTTGCATAAATGGTTTATACTTGTAATGGCTTCATTCAGTATTGTTTTCTTTTTTTGTAATTTTTGTGATTTTAGATGCGCCATCTCTTTGTTGTTGTGGACATGTCTCGAGCAATGGAAGAAGCAGATCTGAAACCCTCCCGTCTTGCCTCTTCTGCGAAGGTGAGGATTATTACTGTTAAATGTTGTACAATACATGTAGGTACAAGAAATGAAGTCTAACTGTTAACTGTTTTGTTCCAGAAAATATCCATACACCCCCCATAGATGGTTTTCTGGTTTGAACACCCCCCTGTTGGAAATTCCGGTTTAGTTTCATCCTTTTTTTTCTAATTTTGGCCCTTGAGACCCCGCTCTAACAGTGAGGGTTGTCAGAAAGTTTTGAAGTAGATGGCTGAGGTGTCAAAGTAAGCAGCTGGAGTCCAGGGATATTTTAGTTAAAAAAAGCCATCCGTAAAGAAATGCCAAGCAGAGTAGCCAGCCGATACTAACCAAGTGGGTTAGCGGTGTCAGCGATTTTTGCTGGCAGCCAGCTACTTCTGACAACCCTGAGCAGTATGGACAACTGTCAACCATACTTGTCATTTCAATCCCATCTATTCTGAGTCTGGCGCAGAAAACCTCAGATTCATAATAATGGAGGCATCATAATAGACCGTCAGTCATTTGTTCAGTGCCATATGTCATATGTAAATAGACTGAAAGTGGCTTCATAGCCAGCTTCAGCTTAGATCTCAGACTCATTTCTGTATATTTTTAGGTATATTTTATGCACTTTCTTCAAGACCAAAAATACCATAAAGATGTTCTGTTCTGCATTATGTACTCTAGTACTGTAGGGCTATATGGAAGATGTAGTACAAGCAATGTGCATTTTAAGAACATATAAGTACTGTTAAAAAGAACTGCATTGTTTATTTTTTTATTTATTTTTTTCATGTGTTTCTTATTCTTTTAGCTCTTAGAAGATTTTATAACTGAATATTTTGATCAGAATCCTATTTCACAGGTAAATGTTATTACAAAGTGCTTTTAAACACTGGCTTGAATTTTATCAGCCTGTCTGTGTTAAATCTTCTTAAAGTTTTCAATTCCCATATTTTAATCTTGTTATACATTGTTCTCTGCAATTTATATTTTTGTGGCACATCTAGATTGGTCTTATTGTGACCAGGAACAAGAGAGCTGAGAAAATAACAGAATTAAGTGGTGAGTTTTTGGAACAAATAGGACAAACCTATGCCCATGTTTTGTCAGGGTGTGAAGTATTTTTGCTTGCTTAAGCAATTGCAAGTCTACATGGCAGATCAATTTCCTAAAACACAAAAGAAATGTAAACGCATATTTAAATTAATATAAATTATCTTTCGGCGTTGTCTACCTGCACAGGTAACCCACAGCTACATACCAGCAGTCTTCGCAAGGCTGCGAGTAAGGCTTGCACAGGGGAACCATCTTTACAAAACGCCATGGAAGTTGCCATTCAGTCACTAAGGTAACATACAACTGTAGTTTATTTCAGTTCATTGTAGCCAAAGTGTTTCTAGAGGTGAATATTAATATTTTTTGTTTTTTTTATCATTTTTTTTTGTTTGGCGGGGAAGTGGGGACGGGGGGGGGAGGGGGAGGTGATATTAGTATCAATACATGTAAATCAGATACAATTCATTTTTCTGCAATTAAATTTAGGCACATGCCTAGTCATGCCAGCAGGGAAATCCTCGTTTTGTTTGGTAGCCTCACATCGTGTGACCCTGGAGACATCCATGAGACAATACAGGTAATGTATCTAAGTTACTGGCTACTACAAGCAGGATAAAATTTAGCTAGTCCTTTGGAAAAGCAGAGCTTTAATTTTGCTTACCCAGGCCCATTGTCTAAGTTTATGATCCATCAGCCTCAGCCTTGACCCCGTTTTAAGTCCAAGAGTAAGCAACATCAGTTTTGTTTTTGTTTTGTCACAAGGTTGACCTTCTATGAGAAACTGTTGATTGGGAAGAAACAAGTGCCCATTGTCTGTATTAACAGGTGTCTGTATTATTGAGTAGGTTGAAATTAGAGAAAATGCAAGGGCTTTCCCCCGTGACAAAGAAAACTGTCTGTAATAATATATTGAGGTGTCCGTATTAAGTGGATGTCTGGTACGAAAAGTGGGGTTCGACTGTATGTATTAACTTTTATTGAAATGATTTAGACTTTACAACAGCAAAACATACGATGCTCTGTCATTGGACTGGCGGCGGAAGTGCGAGTTTGTAGAACAGTTTGTTCTGAGACACAAGGTGAGAAAGATCATGCAATATGAAATTTTAAAGTAAAGGATAAAAAACCTACTTTAAAATGTGCATTTCTTACTGTTATGTTAAAATTAATAGGCAGCTATGGAGTGATTCTAGATGAAAGACATTACAAGGAACTTCTAATGCAGCATGTAATTCCACCTGTGGCAAAGGTATGCACAAGTTAATTATTTTTCCTTGTTCTTGTACTTAGACTGTTCACAATCCCCTATTTTTCTGTAAGGTACTTACGAAACCAAGATGGCCACTAGTAAGGGAAATTGCTCAATCTCGACGATCTTATTCTAATTCTAAATTTGTTTAATATGCAAAAGGCATGGCCCATCAAAGCAGATGTGCAAATGTGCTTGTGCCAGTGCTAAAATATGAGACAAGGTGTGAAGTTTGAATTAATAATGATAATGATGATGATGATGATGATGATGATGATAATTATAACAATAATAAAAGTTCTGGACTATCCGGTACTGCAAATTCTAATTAGCGTTTTACCATAAGTTAACAAGTCATTGTCATAGCATATTGCCCTCACTTGCTTTGTTCTTAATATTAATTTGAAAACTTTGCAATAACATGATCTTTTAATACAGTAACATCGAAAAGTGTATTCTATTTGTTACAGGTCGACACTGAAGCTGCTTTGATACGAATGGGTAAGAACTCTTTCAGCATAAACGTGCACTATTGGCCATTTTTACGGTTGCGTTCGAGACTGGGTCAGCTTTGTGTCAGATTGTAATCCCATAGTGTAGTTCGACACAACAGTGAACAGCCAATAAGTGAACATTATAAAACACTCGTACTCATGATTTAGTTCTTTAATAACGAAACAGCACTGTCTTTCCTTGATTTGAATATCGTTTTCTCACGTAACTGTTTTGTATCTTGGTAGGTTTTCCTCAACATCTTTCAAGTGGACCACCTTCCTTGTGCATGTGGTGAGAATATCTTTTAAAGAATTTTTAAAAGTCAGATTGTTAGATTTAGTGTTAGAAGACGGAAAGGACAGTACCGAAGCTCTGAGGCCCTCTTAAAAATTAAATGACTGAGCACGTATTGCGAGCGAGGAACATCAAAAATATGTATGATGTTGATTTAATGCCCCCTCTCATTGTTTCAGAACCAGCAGGTCGTTTTTGTGTTTACTGAAGTTAAAAAGTAGCATTATCCTCGTTTCTTCACAATCTTGCATCTAGCAAGACTTAAGTGTGGATGATTAATTAATAACTACTTTGTATTCTTCATTCTTCCCGGGTGTATACAAACCAATTTAATGACCAGCTCCCATTTGGCTTGTTAGCTTAACTGATTAGAGTGCTGCACCGGTTTCGCAGAGGTCTCGGTTTGAATCCCGGCAAGCCTGAATTTTTTTTAGGCTTTCTTTTGCAACTGGGTAAGTTATGAATTTAACTGTGATGATATAAAACATTGCTAACAAGGTTATGATTGGTAAGGGAATCTTCTTGGAGTTTTCTGCAGTAATGTTTGTAACATTAAAGTGTTATGTTCAATTTTAGTTTTCTAGTTGAAAAAGGTTAAAGATTTGTTGCAACAAACCACACAGTGTAATAACACTGAAGAAGTTTATTCACCATTTAACTATTTATTGTATGTTTTTCTTTTAGTCATTTGGATGTCAACGGAGGGGTTAAAGGTTTCAGTACATCAGGGTATTTTTGTCCACAGGTATGTCAAGTTGCTAAAATTTCTTAGCTAGTGTGCCAACCTCAGATTGGCTAGAATTTAGATTCTTCACTTGATTTATGAAATGGAATCGATTTAGATTTTTGATGGCTTGACAGTGAAACTAACAATTCAGCTGACTCTAAAACGGCTGCAGTTTTTTGCCAAATGATGTTGATGTATAGTCCATGGCTCTACTGTCATTGGCGCCTTAAAAACCAACATCCCTCAAGACCCTTACCATGCAGAATTTATTGCAGTGTTTCCTTTGTATTTTTGCTTTGCAGTGTAAAAGCAAGTATTGTGATTTACCTGTAGAATGTAAAGTATGTGGTAAGTAACATACGGGTGTAGTGGTTTAAATAATAGCTTTTGCTACATTCTAAATGCACAGGTGCAACCGGGTCTTAGGACACTTAGCCACGGGCTGCACGCACCCCACGTTGGACTAGTCTTACTTAGACGGCAATCGTAGAACGTCATCTTTTCTCACAAATGATTCATTTTTAGAAGATAAATTCTCCTAGTCTTCACTATAATATTTTTCATTTTGTTTTAACACTACTTAAGTCTGTTTTAATAACGGTCCCATGCGTTTAGGTCTAGTTTATATGAAGACGCAAGCAAAATCACAAAGAAGTGAGACACTTTCCGTAGATAATCGACCCTTTGTTGTAAAAACGGCCGTAAGTCTTGAGTCCTAACGGTCAAGCTGCTACTGTTTTTAAAAATATATATATATTTTTTATTTTATTGTTTTAAGGAAGAAGGTTACGTGTCGAGCTGGGTGCAAACTGGTGAAAACTCCTTTCCCTCATTTTGCAGGCTTAACTCTTGTATCAGCTCCTCATCTGGCTCGATCCTACCAACATCTTTTCCCTCTACCGCAGTTCACAGAAAGAGATTTGTCAGCGATCGAGGACAATCAAAACATCAGGTAGTAGAGCAAAAGTTGTGCTGCTGTATTACTTAGTAATTCTGTCGTAATTAATAGGCGGTGATCTATTCGTTTCTTTTTGAAAGACATTTTTATCAAAATACACTGCAATGTGCTAAAATTTAGTTTTCAATCCCATTTTGCTGTATCCAGTTGCAAATATACTGGAGATAATATACCTTTTTGGGGGCTCAAATGGCCTGCCCATGATCTTGTTCTTGTGATCCCCCCTTCTCCCCTAGTCAAGTTTGTTAGCAATACGAGATCATGTTCTTAGGGCGCGATCCATTCAACCAAAATTCCAACCGGTCCGACCGGGAAAAGTGGTCCACCTCAAAAGGTGGACCCGTTTTTTCGAAACTTTTCCGGTTGGACCGAACCGATCCATTGAGTTTTGGACCGAAATTATCCATACACCCCCCATAGATGGTTTTCTGGTTTGAACACCCCCCTGTTGGAAATTCCGGTTTAGTTTCATCCTTTTTTTTCTAATTTTGGCCCTTGAGACCCCGCTCTAACAGTGAGGGTTGTCAGAAAGTTTTGAAGTAGATGGCTGAGGTGTCAAAGTAAGCAGCTGGAGTCCAGGGATATTTTAGTTAAAAAAAGCCATCCGTAAAGAAATGCCAAGCAGAGTAGCCAGCCGATACTAACCAAGTGGGTTAGCGGTGTCAGCGATTTTTGCTGGCAGCCAGCTACTTCTGACAACCCTGAGCAGTATGGACAACTGTCAACCATACTTGTCATTTCAATCCCATCTATTCTGAGTCTGGCGCAGAAAACCTCAGATTCATAATAATGGAGGCATCATAATAGACCGTCAGTCATTTGTTCAGTGCCATATGTCATATGTAAATAGACTGAAAGTGGCTTCATAGCCAGCTTCAGCTTAGATCTCAGACTCATTTCTGTATATTTTTAGGTATATTTTATGCACTTTCTTCAAGACCAAAAATACCATAAAGATGTTCTGTTCTGCATTATGTACTCTAGTACTGTAGGGCTATATGGAAGATGTAGTACAAGCAATGTGCATTTTAAGAACATATAAGTACTGTTAAAAAGAACTGCATTGTTTATTTTTTTATTTATTTTTTTCATGTGTTTCTTATTCTTTTAGCTCTTAGAAGATTTTATAACTGAATATTTTGATCAGAATCCTATTTCACAGGTAAATGTTATTACAAAGTGCTTTTAAACACTGGCTTGAATTTTATCAGCCTGTCTGTGTTAAATCTTCTTAAAGTTTTCAATTCCCATATTTTAATCTTGTTATACATTGTTCTCTGCAATTTATATTTTTGTGGCACATCTAGATTGGTCTTATTGTGACCAGGAACAAGAGAGCTGAGAAAATAACAGAATTAAGTGGTGAGTTTTTGGAACAAATAGGACAAACCTATGCCCATGTTTTGTCAGGGTGTGAAGTATTTTTGCTTGCTTAAGCAATTGCAAGTCTACATGGCAGATCAATTTCCTAAAACACAAAAGAAATGTAAACGCATATTTAAATTAATATAAATTATCTTTCGGCGTTGTCTACCTGCACAGGTAACCCACAGCTACATACCAGCAGTCTTCGCAAGGCTGCGAGTAAGGCTTGCACAGGGGAACCATCTTTACAAAACGCCATGGAAGTTGCCATTCAGTCACTAAGGTAACATACAACTGTAGTTTATTTCAGTTCATTGTAGCCAAAGTGTTTCTAGAGGTGAATATTAATATTTTTTGTTTTTTTTATCATTTTTTTTTTGTTTGGCGGGGAAGTGGGGGCGGGGGGGGGGGGGGTGATATTAGTATCAATACATGTAAATCAGATACAATTCATTTTTCTGCAATTAAATTTAGGCACATGCCTAGTCATGCCAGCAGGGAAATCCTCGTTTTGTTTGGTAGCCTCACATCGTGTGACCCTGGAGACATCCATGAGACAATACAGGTAATGTATCTAAGTTACTGGCTACTACAAGCAGGATAAAATTTAGCTAGTCCTTTGGAAAAGCAGAGCTTTAATTTTGCTTACCCAGGCCCATTGTCTAAGTTTATGATCCATCAGCCTCAGCCTTGACCCCGTTTTAAGTCCAAGAGTAAGCAACATCAGTTTTGTTTTTGTTTTGTCACAAGGTTGACCTTCTATGAGAAACTGTTGATTGGGAAGAAACAAGTGCCCATTGTCTGTATTAACAGGTGTCTGTATTATTGAGTAGGTTGAAATTAGAGAAAATGCAAGGGCTTTCCCCCGTGACAAAGAAAACTGTCTGTAATAATATATTGAGGTGTCCGTATTAAGTGGATGTCTGGTACGAAAAGTGGGGTTCGACTGTATGTATTAACTTTTATTGAAATGATTTAGACTTTACAACAGCAAAACATACGATGCTCTGTCATTGGACTGGCGGCGGAAGTGCGAGTTTGTAGAACAGTTTGTTCTGAGACACAAGGTGAGAAAGATCATGCAATATGAAATTTTAAAGTAAAGGATAAAAAACCTACTTTAAAATGTGCATTTCTTACTGTTATGTTAAAATTAATAGGCAGCTATGGAGTGATTCTAGATGAAAGACATTACAAGGAACTTCTAATGCAGCATGTAATTCCACCTGTGGCAAAGGTATGCACAAGTTAATTATTTTTCCTTGTTCTTGTACTTAGACTGTTCACAATCCCCTATTTTTCTGTAAGGTACTTACGAAACCAAGATGGCCACTAGTAAGGGAAATTGCTCAATCTCGACGATCTTATTCTAATTCTAAATTTGTTTAATATGCAAAAGGCATGGCCCATCAAAGCAGATGTGCAAATGTGCTTGTGCCAGTGCTAAAATATGAGACAAGGTGTGAAGTTTGAATTAATAATGATAATGATGATGATGATGATGATGATGATGATAATTATAACAATAATAAAAGTTCTGGACTATCCGGTACTGCAAATTCTAATTAGCGTTTTACCATAAGTTAACAAGTCATTGTCATAGCATATTGCCCTCACTTGCTTTGTTCTTAATATTAATTTGAAAACTTTGCAATAACATGATCTTTTAATACAGTAACATCGAAAAGTGTATTCTATTTGTTACAGGTCGACACTGAAGCTGCTTTGATACGAATGGGTAAGAACTCTTTCAGCATAAACGTGCACTATTGGCCATTTTTACGGTTGCGTTCGAGACTGGGTCAGCTTTGTGTCAGATTGTAATCCCATAGTGTAGTTCGACACAACAGTGAACAGCCAATAAGTGAACATTATAAAACACTCGTACTCATGATTTAGTTCTTTAATAACGAAACAGCACTGTCTTTCCTTGATTTGAATATCGTTTTCTCACGTAACTGTTTTGTATCTTGGTAGGTTTTCCTCAACATCTTTCAAGTGGACCACCTTCCTTGTGCATGTGGTGAGAATATCTTTTAAAGAATTTTTAAAAGTCAGATTGTTAGATTTAGTGTTAGAAGACGGAAAGGACAGTACCGAAGCTCTGAGGCCCTCTTAAAAATTAAATGACTGAGCACGTATTGCGAGCGAGGAACATCAAAAATATGTATGATGTTGATTTAATGCCCCCTCTCATTGTTTCAGAACCAGCAGGTCGTTTTTGTGTTTACTGAAGTTAAAAAGTAGCATTATCCTCGTTTCTTCACAATCTTGCATCTAGCAAGACTTAAGTGTGGATGATTAATTAATAACTACTTTGTATTCTTCATTCTTCCCGGGTGTATACAAACCAATTTAATGACCAGCTCCCATTTGGCTTGTTAGCTTAACTGATTAGAGTGCTGCACCGGTTTCGCAGAGGTCTCGGTTTGAATCCCGGCAAGCCTGAATTTTTTTTAGGCTTTCTTTTGCAACTGGGTAAGTTATGAATTTAACTGTGATGATATAAAACATTGCTAACAAGGTTATGATTGGTAAGGGAATCTTCTTGGAGTTTTCTGCAGTAATGTTTGTAACATTAAAGTGTTATGTTCAATTTTAGTTTTCTAGTTGAAAAAGGTTAAAGATTTGTTGCAACAAACCACACAGTGTAATAACACTGAAGAAGTTTATTCACCATTTAACTATTTATTGTATGTTTTTCTTTTAGTCATTTGGATGTCAACGGAGGGGTTAAAGGTTTCAGTACATCAGGGTATTTTTGTCCACAGGTATGTCAAGTTGCTAAAATTTCTTAGCTAGTGTGCCAACCTCAGATTGGCTAGAATTTAGATTCTTCACTTGATTTATGAAATGGAATCGATTTAGATTTTTGATGGCTTGACAGTGAAACTAACAATTCAGCTGACTCTAAAACGGCTGCAGTTTTTTGCCAAATGATGTTGATGTATAGTCCATGGCTCTACTGTCATTGGCGCCTTAAAAACCAACATCCCTCAAGACCCTTACCATGCAGAATTTATTGCAGTGTTTCCTTTGTATTTTTGCTTTGCAGTGTAAAAGCAAGTATTGTGATTTACCTGTAGAATGTAAAGTATGTGGTAAGTAACATACGGGTGTAGTGGTTTAAATAATAGCTTTTGCTACATTCTAAATGCACAGGTGCAACCGGGTCTTAGGACACTTAGCCACGGGCTGCACGCACCCCACGTTGGACTAGTCTTACTTAGACGGCAATCGTAGAACGTCATCTTTTCTCACAAATGATTCATTTTTAGAAGATAAATTCTCCTAGTCTTCACTATAATATTTTTCATTTTGTTTTAACACTACTTAAGTCTGTTTTAATAACGGTCCCATGCGTTTAGGTCTAGTTTATATGAAGACGCAAGCAAAATCACAAAGAAGTGAGACACTTTCCGTAGATAATCGACCCTTTGTTGTAAAAACGGCCGTAAGTCTTGAGTCCTAACGGTCAAGCTGCTACTGTTTTTAAAAATATATATATATTTTTTATTTTATTGTTTTAAGGAAGAAGGTTACGTGTCGAGCTGGGTGCAAACTGGTGAAAACTCCTTTCCCTCATTTTGCAGGCTTAACTCTTGTATCAGCTCCTCATCTGGCTCGATCCTACCAACATCTTTTCCCTCTACCGCAGTTCACAGAAAGAGATTTGTCAGCGATCGAGGACAATCAAAACATCAGGTAGTAGAGCAAAAGTTGTGCTGCTGTATTACTTAGTAATTCTGTCGTAATTAATAGGCGGTGATCTATTCGTTTCTTTTTGAAAGACATTTTTATCAAAATACACTGCAATGTGCTAAAATTTAGTTTTCAATCCCATTTTGCTGTATCCAGTTGCAAATATACTGGAGATAATATACCTTTTTGGGGGCTCAAATGGCCTTCCCATGATCTTGTTCTTGTGATCCCCCCTTCTCCCCTAGTCAAGTTTGTTAGCAATACGAGATCATGTTCTTAGGGCGCGATCCATTCAACCAAAATTCCAACCGGTCCGACCGGGAAAAGTGGTCCACCTCAAAAGGTGGACCCGTTTTTTCGAAACTTTTCCGGTTGGACCGAACCGATCCATTGAGTTTTGGACCGAAATTTCCGGAAATTTTTGTTGAATGGATCGCGCCCTTAGGTTACACATGCGGGTCGACTCCTGTCAATTCCCTATGGGCCATCCCAGAGCAAACCAAAATGAAGTTCTATAGGGCCGTGAATGACGTTTGCGTGTGCACAAGCTAGCTTGGGAACCAAACCTCCCAACGTTTTGCGAAAACTAGATGACAGCTTAGCAACGAACATTATTTCGTCACTTGCCACAGTGAAAAAGCCTGTAATGTGAGTTTCGGTCCACACATCGCAAAGTCCAGCCGGAGGAAAAAGACAAATTGTTGAGGCGATTGTTCACTCACTCGTATTTAAATTTCTCTTTTTGTAGACAGAACCACTGTTTTGCCTGTCAGAAAGAATTCACGGAAAATGCTGTAAGTTACTTTTTGTCTGTTTCCTTGTTCTTAACCGTCAAGAACTCGACCGAAGTTTCACTGATTTGTTAGGGCTTGATTTAAAATAGATTTTTATTATTTTTTGTAATACTTTATTGACATTTAGCGATAACAACAAAGGACTCAATACCATAGGCTCATCTACCTGTAAACAAAAAATATTACATCCGATTATAAGCCCGACTGGAAACAAGTCCCCCTTTAGCTTGTATTGAAAAGAATTCGATTTATTAAAACGTTTTGAAGCCTGAAAAAAACAGTAAATGCAAAACTATTTTGTCCAGCACTGCTAAAGCTCCGGTAGAACGGGCAACAAAAACAGACAACTTGTTTTGCACCATTGCTGCAAAACGAGTTGACTAGCGATGTTGCGCGTTTTACCACCCACGTTCAAACCTGTTAACAACCTGATTTGTTGCAAGACAGGTTTTCTGTGGGTGGTATAACGCGCACATCGGTATTCAACTCGTTTTGCAACAATGTTTCAAGACAAGTGAGTAGGCAGCATAGCCGAGCGGTTAGAGCGTTGGACTTGCAATTCGAAGGCCCCAAGTTCAAGTCTCGCTGTGACTGCCAGCTGGATTTGTTCTCGGTAGTCCTGAGTTCAAATCCTCGGCCACGCTTGTAAGTAGCCAAGTGGTTTGCCCCCGGCCAGTTGGGATTGTTAACCCTATCGTGTTTGATTAAAATTATTTGTTTCAGGAATTTTCTGGCCCTACTAGCATTAGTGCTATAAACACTGCCGAGGGTAAATAACGGAAATTTAAGTTGTATGTTTTTTGTTGCCCGTTCATTTTCTGTACCTTAAAGCTTGTTTAGAAGTTATTTTTCTATTCCGGTTTTAAGGCCCTCCCTCCTAAAAACCCTTACGAAAATGTATAACCCCAGGGCTTATAAGCGACAAGAGACAACTGAAGAATATTTTAGAGGTTTGAGTTCACTGATGCGCTTTTGAAAATCAGGCAATAAGTAAAATAACTTTCTTTTTTTTTTTTCAGGTTTATTGCTGTCCTCAGTGTGAACATCTGTTCTGTATGGACTGTGACATCTTCATTCATGACTCTTTACACAGCTGTCCCGGATGTACTTCCGCCCCACAGGGGGAGGGCTGAGGCCTTTCATAGTTGTAATATTATTTATTTATCGCCTACAATAAAGATGTTTGATGCCAACTTTGTGATGACCGCTTCCTGTTATAATAAAACTGCCTTTTTACATCCAAGCTGTAGATGATTTCCTTAGAAGTTTTTCGTCTTTTAAATTTTTTCGCTGATTACAAATACAAATTGTCTCAATCCATCCAGGGCTAGTTAAACAAGCTATGTCACCAGGAAACTTTAGCAAAGGCGATTTGAGCGACGCATGTCAACCGGAAGTGGACTTTTCAGTTGAATCGTCTCTACAAGTCTAAAGAAACTAAGTAATACAAATTTTATAGCGTCAAGGCGTATTAACCCTTTAAGCCCTAAGAGTGATCAGGGTGAAATTTCTGCTTGTAAAATCAACGCTTTGTAAAACAGAGTGGTCATGAGAATTGTGGACATGCATGATCCTACAAGATGAATCTGCTTGATATTTTATCAACTTCTTCCCACTACTTCTGTAGGAAATGAATAGGGGCAACAAATGAGAATTCAAATTTTGATCTCAGGGTTTAAAGGGTTAAAAGGGAAAAGTCCCCACTTCCGGTTGACGTGCGTCTCCTAGAAACGCTACTTATTTCATATACCCACACACAAAATTCTCCTGTGGAGTGTGAAGAAGATATATGTAAAAAAAATTCATCAGGAAAAACTAACCATCATAGATATTTTTTGGTGATTTTTGCGGGCATAGAATTAAAATTTGACAAGTTTCCAATCCATGTCCATCCTTGTCACCCGTAACCCTTGTCACCCGTAGCAACAGACGACAGCAATCAGTTTTTCAATGCCTAAATATAGTCTTAAATGAAAAATAACTCCACCATTATTTTTTGGAATTCAATTGATGCAAAGCGACCTGTATTCTAGCTTTAAGATGGCAACTGTCTTGACATGACCCCTTTAATCATGAAGGGATACTGAATTACAAGCCATAGTTTACAAGACGATTGTAGACACTTGCTCCTAATTACCCTTTCCCATTAGCTACCTCAACCCCAGGTGGTGTGCGCACTACGATCGCGATGCATTGTGGAATCAAAATTTTCAAGATGGCGGCGAAGGTCGAGAAATTTCGCAGGTTATATGCTTTACTTTTCAATAGATACAGTTCTTTCCTTAGATCGTTTTTCTAGATTTCATAAGCTTATGTTTGTTTAGATTTTTTCTGTGAAGAAAAACAAATCAATATTCTTCATTTCAATCTAAAACGTGGAGCCCGAAGATTCCTCCTGTAAGAGCATGAAATTTGAACCCGGTTTTTAAGAAGCTACAATTTCCATTATATTGCCTGTGGAAAGTAGGAGATAGTTGTAAGTGTTTCTACAAACCTTGTTCTACGCTAATTTCTTATCGCTCCCCAACGCGCCCCACATTTTGTGACACTTTTTCCGAATTGAAACCGGCATGTTTTCATGAGAAAATGTAGCCTCGCGAAGACCAATGTGACATGTTACTGGAAGTGTTACTGTTGTAATCACAAGCTGATCACAAAATAGCGGGGCAGCGGCGACTGGTTCCTCCAGACAATAGCATTAGGTGAGCATAAAATGTTCGAAATTGGTATATAAATAGGCTGATGAGTACTCAGATGTAGGAA